AACAAAAACAATGTATTTAGAAATAAACAAGAAAGAACACAAATTCATACAAATTCCCTATTGCTGGACTTCAAGATGGACATTATCAAAAAGCAGGATGGTTAAAAACCTAAGATAGGAATAAGAAACATGGGGTAGCGATCACATCAACAACAAAGGAAAAGAATCATGAGATAGCCTAAGATTAATAGCAGTGGAACAGAATCGGAATGGTGTATGCTACTTCCTGAAAAAGAAATGGAACAGTCTGAACTTTCGAAAATAATCAAAATCTGTCCGAGACATAGCTTTGCAGGAAATGAGCAGACCTCTGAATAGGTGAGAGCATCCATCAACGTCGCGAATGGCACATGTCCATGATCTGTCTCTGTAAAAAGCAAACCTCCATATGATTACAGAGTATTCGTTATAACTTATAAGCCTATCAAATCTGATTTTCATAAATTAAGTAATCTCCTACTGCGAAACCTGTAATTTGAGAAGGCCAAGGAAAGGCTGAAGAAGGCATGCGGTCCCACTTAGAAGGTAAACGGTCTTCATAAACCCTAATCCATCCAAATATATAAAATAAGATGTATTTTATAGATATTACAAACCAATGCTATGAATAAAAACTCAATAGCCAGCTTAATTACAGTTTGACTGAGTGTTGTTACCTGTGTGTACCTTACATAGAAATACATTACCTCTGACGATCTATAACTACGACGTCCTCATCAGACAAAATCCGGACCCTGGTGGAAGGTTTCAAATGACTACACCACAATCCAAAGAGCTCTTCACACTTTAGGTCAATAACTTTTACCCATCTACATGGTAACTGAAGAGCAAGTTTCTCACTAGCTTGATCAACAAACATCCTCAAAACAGTCCCCACAGTTGGAAATTCGCACAACACATCTCTTGGTAAAAGTGAAGCTTCTGGCTGCAATGGAAGCGGATTCTCCAGTTCAAGGTTTAGCCTGCAATATTACAAGTGTTAATCTTTTCCAACTATATATACCAGGCCTGCAAATAATTATTAAGAAAGAAATTAATTGAAAGCGCTATTCATGTCGATAAAGAACATGCATGGGGAGTTTAAGTTTAAACAACACAGGAAAACATAATCAGTTCCCTAGACTGGCAAATGAATAAACGAGAACAAACTCACTTTGTTTGGCAACTTAATGGGGGAGTATCAGTTCCATCCCACAAAAAAAGCATCCATGCATCTTTAGAAACTTTGCAAACTGTAAGAATCTTTCATGAGGACGAAGATACAAATTAGCTTTTGGGCACTTTAAGTTAATATAAGAGCTCATCTCTAGTAAGACCCTAGGGTACTTCAAGTATGTGATGATAAGCTACCTTACAAACCAAATCAAAGTTCTTTCCCTCTGTAATTTTTCCCAAGGACAGAATGGACTCACTTGCACCTAACAAGAAGATGAAATGACTCAGAAGAATATAAGATTTATACAAACAATAATGCAGCTCAAAATATACACAAGAAAAGTTGCACAAGCATTTCAAGCAATCTCAATCACTATGAAACAACTTAAAATGATAAAAACAGTACTATACACATTGTTGTAGTAACGATGCCATTAACTCTTCATTGGAACTGTCAGCCAAAAATAAAATAAAACAAAATAAAGATACCTGAAACATACGAAAAATATCATTCAGGTACCTCTTATCAAGAAAAACTCAGGTAGAAGCATCATACATCCTGATGATATACCTGAATCAAGTTGATAGTTGAGAAGCCACGTTCTTAGAGATGTTAGAATATCTTTCTCGGGATCTTTAAGGGTGTAGCTTGATGAAGCTTGATACGGGATGAAACTTTTACTAGACTTTCCTTCAAATAGGGCAAATGTAGAAATCGACTTTTTGAAAACAACATTAATCTTTCCATTATGAAGATCTATCTGCAGTTGTCATACACATTCACTGATAAGATCTTATTACTATTAAAACCAAATTATCATAAAAAGTTAGGGTTTCCACATGTATCAGATGTACAGGCATATTAGTACATAGATATATGAAGACAAAATCTCAACAGGCTTACTTTCAATTTAACCATTCAGGTATCTCAACCCATATAAATGTGTGACACTGAATTTTATCGTAATATAATTTAAGGTCTCATATAATACTTAGTAATTAGTATTCACCAGCCATTAATAGCAAGCAGTCTGTTAGGCTTTTTATTATTATTATTAATTGGTAAATAGTATTTCCCCTAAATTTCTTCCCCCTTCAAAGGTAGGACTCGATCCCAAGGCCTTTGAGCTCAGCCTTCCAAGTCTTGACCAAGCACCACCAATATTGTATTCCATGCTTGCGAGTTAAACGTCTTAGTTTTTCTTCACATTATTCTCACCATGATACAAGAGGATACAATAATCATAGGATACTTGTATTGCTAGTCTCAGCCATTTACAAAAGTGTAAAATATGCTCTTACATTGACCTCAGAAAATCAAATTGAGAAAAAAGAATATATCTTAAGATACTCAAAGCATATGACCATGACTGCAATGACACATAATCTTACAATCCAACAGGCACCACATAGAAAGATTAAGATACAAAAAAACAATAAATAACCACTTAAGACACAAAATTACAGATGTGGTGCAAAACAGTTGCAAATGTAGCATAATGAAGAAAAACATACAACAGACTTTTCATTAGACACCATTCAAACTTCCATTTCAAGCATAGTGTTGCTTTCATTGCTTACCATAACAAGAGTAAAACGAACTATATCTCCAGCTGACCTAACAAGTGGCAGTTTGTCCCCACTTTCACCAAAGACATTAATCACAAGACCATGACCTTGATATGACTCGTCCATTACCTTCAGAGTGCAGAACCAGTCTGCAAAGACAAGTTCAACTACCATAACTCAAAAACTCATTAAGATGAAAACATTTCAAGATAACGCTTTAGAGAACATTATAGAATTGAAAAAATAACCCTTTCCAAACCTTTCCCAATGGATGGATCTTCATGAATGCACTTCATTAATTACTAATCATAATTCTGCTAGTACAAAGACATTGAACATGGAGCATTTTGGCCAACTTTATTTGGCAATGCCAACAACTGAGTGATATTTTTCAATGAATTAAAACTTATTGGAGAACCCAATAATGCTATTAAACAATGGCTGTGTTTGGTTCAAGGGAATTCAGTTTCCTGGAAAACAAGAGAAAGTGTGCTAAAATAACTCAAAGTTTCAGATAAATTAGGAAAGCAGATTCCGGCCAAGAGCAACCCAACGGAATATGGTTTCCTTGTATATAAAATGGAAACCAGTTTCTAAAATTGGTTGGACAAAAGGGTAAAGTGTTTAAGTTCGACTAGAATTCTGCAAAATTTCATCTTCCTTCTCTCAGTTTTGTGCGCACAATCTCTGTCTATACCAATCTTTAATCCAAATGACCAATACTACCCTTGATTTTCCTGGAATTTAGAATCTGCGAACAAAACGCAGCCTATGGAAACCCGTTTTTGTCAATGGAGACAGAAATGAGCAAACCTGTTATTTGATGATAATGCTTTGAAGCAAATTCCATTGTTGCAAAACGGAACAAATAGAACTTTGCGGAAAACAGGTAGAGAAAGTTAAGATTTCGTAAAAGAAAATTTCATTGTTGAAAAATAGAACAAATAGTAATTTGTGGAAAAATAAGCAGTTGCCAGGTTTATTTATGTTCAGATTGTCAACAGAACAAACAACTGCTGCTAGTTCAGTTGGTTTCTTATCCCTCTCACAAGACTTCCACAAGTGAGAGGTTGTGAGTTCAATTCCCACCAATAGTATTTGGGGGAATTTCTCATGTAATTCTTAGGTGGGTTAGCCTTCGGGCCTTGTTTGTGATAGGCCTTTGGGCCCAAGATCTAGAGAAAATTGAGGTGATGTGGCTACTTAGGTGGAGCAAAGCGAAAGCAAGTCTTCATAGAGTGGGTGCTCTGGTGATGTGGAGGCTACGTGGATACTTAGGTGGCAACAAACTATAGAATAGCCTACGGGCCTAGTTTCAAATGTAACCCTTCGG